CCAGCGGTGCGCAGACGGAAGCGAGTGGAGACTGACGGGGCGGTTAACTCAATCACTGTGCTTGCTAACTCAATCACTGTGCTTGAATGAATACGTGAATGGTACGCCTTAAGGTGTCAAGAAAGCGGACTCTTCCCGGGTAAAAGGTTACGGTGCGTCGTTATTTCTGTGTATGCGCCGACTGACTGCAGCGCTACTGTATTTCCCAAAGATTTGAACACCTAAACGGCCCATGCGAAAGAGATCTGAAAGATCGTCATGGTCACGATGCAACCGGAATCGATAACATAAATCGACAATTGCGAACCGAACACTGACGTTGCTGTCTTTTCGTACCCATCCCCCGGGCTTAGTTCATCAGATTTGCACCAGATGCCGGCATTCAGAAAGACGTACACGTAATCCGGCTCAAACAGCATTACCTATTCCACGCGAGGGTTCCTAGTTGCATCTGAACTTGTTACATATACCGCGAGAAAGGTCCCCCAGTTTCAAACAGCGCAAAAACACGCCCGAAGCGTCTACTATTCTAAAAGATGATGCTCTGAAACAGCACGAATGCCTACGTTCGGCAAAAAGAAAACACGACGGTTAGGCGAATAGACTATCAGGAAATTAAGTGTCGGTGCCGAACTAACCTTCCGACCCTCAATAAAGGTCATGTTGCTTATGCTGTTCAGGATATCCTCTGACAACGTGCCCCGGAGCATATCATATGCTAAACCCTTTCGATGGGCGACCATCGGAAACTCAAGTTTGTAAGTTGTAAAACCGGAACGTGAAGTGAGAAGTGAACGCGTCTCCACCACACTATCCTTGCCGCTCAAACGAGCCAATGCACAACAGAGTACGCGTAAAGTGGTAGCAGACTTTGGTGGACGTAAAGGCGATTCATTTTCGTCTGGAACGGCTCGACACTTGTGCTTCTTTGATTTAACACCCTCCTGTTGTTCTTGAAGGTTAGTCTCTTCTGTTTCGGAGTGCGCACCAAGTTCTCGAACCAAGCGTTTCGCAATCGGCAGGAAAGCTGACCAGGTTGATTCTGGAACTGCAGTGAAAGACCTGGTGAAAAAGTTAGAAAAAGACATTAACGAATCCCACCGAACAACCCCACAACGCCCAACAGAACGCATAAACAAATAGACTTTCTATCATCCATAGACCCATCAATGTTAGGACTACCTCAGCAAATATGAAGAAAATATGAATAATCATAGTGAGGCCAAGAAACACCAATCTTCTGTACACTTCAGCATGCAACATGAATGTGGGGTTACACATCCATGTGCGTATTTGTTTGTTTAATGCAGCCGAGCTGCTCAAATAAGAACACCCTGCACGTGAGACAGTTTCCGAATTTTCCTTCAAATTGAAGCCAAAACCCTGAGAATATCAATCAACCCGCTGACTCCACCTAGATAGGTGGAGCCCACAAGACCGATGATCTCTGTAGAAGAGACAGTAGGTCTCCATATCACAGGCTGTTTAACTCAATATCAAGTGTTGTTTGCTCTGCCCCACAAGAGCAGATAAAATGTGTCTTGAAAAAAATAATAAAGATTGTTCAGCTGTAACACCCTACCGGTGCCTAGCTGCCATGCCACCCGAAGGAAGCACGAGGGCTTGGATACTGCCAGGTTGCCCAAGCCTAGACAGGGGAAGTCGAGAGGCAGAGGTCGTGTTCGAATCACGGACCCTGCGGTCAGTAAATTCGCGCTCTAACTACTTGGGGCCATCTCTCTTGACAGAAAGCTGCCCAACCAAGCCGCCATAGAAACACTAACCGTGCTTCAAAATGACTTAATTCATCTCAAAACATGGGTGTCAAACGGTTAGCCAGGACCTATTTCCATCATGGGCCACCAGCTAACACGGAGAATACAGGAAGAACTGTCGTACAGAGAAATAAGTATAAGCAAGCGGAATAGATAGATAGCCGATAGGTAGACCGAGAGCTTCCGATACACCTTTAAAATTTTGGAACAGGAGACTTAAGCTATTTAGTGTCATCCATTCACTTTTGGGACAGACACTTAGGGTGCGCGAAGCCCGGACTGCTCGATGTGGGCTTCTGATTCGACGACCTGTATTCGAATGCTTGCGTGGGCTGTCAGCCCCATCTTGAAAAGTGAGCACATGTTGCCACCGGGATAGGTCAGGGAACAACTCATTCTAAGGTGAGTGGGGGTCTGACCGACTGGACACCATTAGGCGCGCGACTTTGGTACTTTAGGGGTTAACCAAGTCGACTTACTACCCGCAAATAAATCGACTGATGAACACTTAGTCGACCAACCATTTTTGTTGGAGCATGATCATTGACCCCAGCCAATCCAACGGTGTACAGAGATTTCGCAGATAGGTGAGAAAAAATCCGTACGGAGGCCAGTCGTCCCTAATAACCGAACATCACATCATTTGGACGGATATGTCACGTGCAGGACAAGGACCAAACGAAGACATGCCCTGATTAGTCAGAATGCCAGCCAATATAAGTCGATCATCTTTGACTCGACGTTTCTCGCCCCCTCACGGAGATTCTGGCACGACCTTGTGGAACACTCTGTGACTACCCTATAAATACAGTTGTAATAATTTCCCTTTGTCTCCACAAAGGGTTGTGTAGAGCTACCGTGTCCTTAGATATACCGTATTGAGCGGAGCAGGAAGCCAAGGGACAGATCCAGAGTTGCACTACCATTCAGCAAGCCACAACAAAAGCTGAAGATAGTGAGTGGAAAAAAACATGCATACGCATCGTAATCACTATCCTAACGTAAAGGCGATTCAAAATCGTCTACCGGATTTCTCTGATTATTTTCTTAAGGACATGGAGCTTCCGGGCACTAAGCCCCTGTCCTTTACTTTTCTTTCCACTTTTCACTAGGGATTTTTGTCCTCATGAATGTATGGTGGTTAAGCACCAATACTGTGTCCATCACGCTACCTGACTGAGAAGTCCTAACAGGCGGATCAATCGGTCAACAGAATCAGGACATTTACTGATTCATCATTATCACTCCAGGCGTATTCGCTGGACAACAACAAAAGTTGCGATGTCGTACAGCAGGAAAACTGACTCTAACTGCGTTTATCAGTCACTATGCTAGGTGATCATGGATGTTCACCGAAGACAATGGTAAAGATTTTTCAAGGCTGTGGCACAGTTACACCAATGTAAGATTTGGGAAGTGGTGAGCTTTGAATATCTTAGGATGAAAACCCACACAAACTTGTATACAGTGTTATTCTGGGTTGACGAATCTCATGGAAAGTGAAAATAGGTTACGCCGCCTTCCCTCTGGGAAAGAACACCCCTTCAGAGCAAATGATTTTAGTTTCCCCGAGATTGTTTGGTGGGAAAAGATCTTCCCAAAGTGACTGCACTGATAACAGCCGGATACGAATAATTGCTCAAGTAGTTCCAGAAAACCCTGGTTGGGAGTAGCACGACATAGTTAACTGACTGTGGTACTGTAAATAAACGTGACCCAGTGAGTAGATTAGGTCGGAAGAACGACGTTATAACAAGACGAAAGTGCGTCCGACATCAGCAAACGATCGAAAAGGGGGAAAATTACTGCACGAGTTCGCCACCCCAAGCGCCAATGATGTCGTGCAATGTGGGAGCAGCGATTCGACGAAATTTGATACCGGCTCGCTGTTCGATCATGGCCAGAAGACCGCGTTCGCGTGGTGAGTGAAAGACAATGGAGGTCCCACTCTTTTCAGCCCGTCCAGTACGCCCGGAACGGTGAATGTAGTCTTCTACATCTCGTGGAGGATGGCACTGCACTACCAAGTCCACTTCCGGAATATCCAATCCACGTGCAGCGACGTTTGTAGTGATGAGCGTGCGGTACTTCCCCTCGCGGAATTTCTGTTAGATTCGGGAAAATAATGCATCAGATGAAACTTGACGACCCAGATATAATGCCAAGAAATTTCAATCGCATCAAAAAAATAATCATTATCACAACACTACAGCGATAGATGATCTGTTCCTTCAAAAGGGTATTCCCTCTTTATGGACAAGATGCACTAGGAATAGATGGGAATTGGTGTTTTCTACGCGATAACACAAAGGTGCCTCATAAATCCTGTATTGCACAAAAAAGTTACAGTGCTCATTTACCACATGAACACTGCAGCAAGAGAGACCGCTCTTGTCCCAAGTGACTGACCGGCAAAATTTGCGGTCTCTAGACCCCTGAACCAGCTCATAACCACAGAAACTGTTTACGGTTTGCTAGTAGTACAATTCATACAATACAATAAGATTACACAGAAGCCTGAGGGGAGTTTTGATTTGGAATCTCGTGCCTGAAGCCGAACTGGAATCTCGGAACCGATTAACGACATATCACGTGAGTGGAATAATCTGACCTTGTGATGAGTAGTTTGGTAGTTATACCAACCCCACACAGGTGTTATGCAGACATGTCTCTTCTCTGTGGAGTCTGGTTTTGCTATCTGCTTTGTTGATCACGCAGTTTAACACACTAATGAATGGGGATACGCGTTCGCCGAAAAACCCTTCTCCTTCAAACACATCCCGGATCGAATTTCGTATTTGAGGCGAGTTCATTGCCTCGTCCAAGTCTGTTTTCCAGTAACTACGTTGCCTTACAGTGGCAACGTCAGGGAAACTCGGCTAAACGTAATGTGCATAGTTAACCGCAGCATTGATGTGACTGTGTCAAACGAGTTTCAGACACAAGCTCAATAGTATTATCAACGCAATTGCAGCATAACGTGATGATAAAAAGGTTGGACAGAAAGACCCAATTCACATTGACAGTTTCTTCCGATCAAGCCTAACTAATGTGCGATGGATTAGTTAGTTCAGGGGATGATCAGGGATCTCTCAACAGGCTATGATTCCCAGGAAAGATGCCGACGAATCCGGGAAAACGCGAGTACTTGGGGATGCACTGAGACTCTTGAGGTAGCCATATAGAGAACTGTTCATGTGACTGGTTGTTTAACGGTCTCAGGCTAATGATTGCAGGAGCACGTGCTTACCATTAATTAGAAGCACCATGTCTACAAAATCACTCTGAAAAGACGTGTCCACACACCATTTCCAGTTGAAGGACAGAAAACCACCGAATTCGTCACCAGAAGATGACCTACGGGGAAGGCGATTTGCTAGTTTCGGTTCCATCTCATCATTGTCTTAAATAAAAATTTGGTGTATATTTACAGCATCATCATCCATCATCATCATTGTCAGCTGTAAGAACCGCGTACTGGTCGTACA